TCCAGATAAGGATGCAGGGGAGGTGGCAAGGGCCCACAAGAGGGGGAAGACAGATATCACACAAGAGATGGGTAACAGTGCAAAGACACACAGAAAACCAGCACCAAACGAGAGACCAGAGGAGGAGGGAAGGCAGCGGGACACCAAGATGACAGAGGGATGTGAATTAGGACAAAAGCTGCCTCCGTAGAATCTCACCCACCCACTCCCCCGCCTGGCTGTCACTCAGGAATCCCAGCTCTCCCCAACACCCAGTAAGAAACACAAGCTCCTCAGCTCCAACCCACCCCCACAGACCATTCCGGGCTGGAATCTGGTGCAGTGGCCTCATGGGAGCAATGCATCAAAGCAGGCTTTTATAGACATCTTGAAAATTGGGACTGATCCTCAAGGCGGATGAGAGGACCACACAGAGGACCAGGGAACCCAGATTCAAGTTATAGCGTCATCTGGAGGAGGACCTCAAGCTGGCCCTGCCTCATTCCCAGCCTGGGTTTCATATTCTGTAAAATGGAGATAGCTACCCCTCCCTCAAGGGCCTTCGGGGGTAGGGAATCAATCCAGCAGGCACTTATCAATCACTGCATGCTGGTTGAGTATTAGCTGCAGAAGAATAAAAAAAAAAATCAAGAAAAAAGGCGGGCCTTTCTGTGCCCGCCTCTAGTAAGGGCACAATCATAGTTGCTGACAGGTTAACTGCCACCATCACCCCCTTCACACTACAGAAGGGGAACTAGGACCAGAAAAGGAGTGGGGTCAACAGCACCCGCGCCCACTCATCAGAGGCCAGGAAGAGTTGTTTTATTGTTTGTTTTTATTGATGGGAACTGAACCCAGGGCCTGGCGAATTCCAGGCTACATCCTCACGCCTACTATCCACCCCACACGACCCCTTTTTCTCCTTTGGAGACAGGGTCTCACTATGTAGCCCAGTTTGCCTGGATCTGGCTAAGGGGACCATGCTGACTTGGAACTCAGAGTTCCACCTGCCTCAGCTGTGATTGAAGGCGTGCACCACCACCACCCCTCCGTGGCTCAATTCGTCCTTTTTCAGGTACACACTGGGAGGGGTGAGCAACTAGTAACTCGAACTACAATGCAAATACAGGGCATCCCCAGAGCTCCCGACAGCGCTTATATGCCAACCCACCGCGACACCATGTATCCGAGTCTTCCCCTATACCCCACAGAACAGCCTCCATCCAGCCTTCTCTAACACGGTGCTGCTCAGAACGGGGGAAGGGAAACAGCCTGTCGACAGGCAAAGGTCCCCAGAGAAACCCGATGCTACCCCTTTCCCTCCCCTCAGCGCTGAGTCAGATGACCAAAAGAACCCAAGCATCAGTTTCCACTTACACAGGGTGAGAGGCCCCAGCTGTCAGAAACGGGGAATCTGGCTCGAGGCTCTGTTATTTCCACCCCACCCACTTGAAAGTCCCTCCCTGTGGTGGGGTCTGGGGTGCAGTCACCGTACACAGTCCCTGGTGGAAAGGCTGGGCAGCAGGGAAGGGAACAAAAGATGGGGAGCTGGGAAGGGAGTCCCTGGCACAAAGGACCGGGAACAGGGAATTGGGGGAGGGGTGTCTGTAGTCAACGAGACTTACCAATACACAACTCGAACAGCGAGCGCCATTGCTCCAGATCGAATCCCCGCGCAGCGCGAGGACCCGACCCACGAGCAACGAGGACCTCGAGGTCTGGGTTTGGGGCCGTGCGCACAGCCCTACTCCCTCAAGAGGTGGAGCAAACCAAGTGCGCGGCGGGGGGGGGAATCAGGATAGCGGGGACCGAGGCTCCGGTACATGGCGAGGGCTGTGACCACAAATGTGACCCCTCACCCAGAAGCCCATTTTGTTCCCTTGGTATCCCACGGTTGTCTCCATAGATGGTGTCTCTAGGACCAGTCACCTGTGCACCCCTCACTGTCGCTCCTTCTTGCTAGAATGGTTCAGACCTCAGGGCGGCGGCTCAAGGCAGAGAATTGGCTGAGACTGAAGTTCGGTTACAGTGTTCCTAGGAGGTGCTGCGCTGGGAAATTGAGGCGCACGACGCATGCTCCCCATCCTCCTCCGGGGACAGGCAATTGGGGTGGGTCCCAGCCCGGAATGATTCAGGATAGATGGACCCTAGATCTGAAAAAGTGAAGCTGGGAGTCCCAGCGTCGCAGAGTGCACTTTCAGGCCTAGCTGTCTCAACATAGCCTGGCAGTCGGACCCTGGGATACCTGCCCCAAAAGCCCAAAAGCGTGGCCCCCCTCATTTTGCTCCTTCTAGCCATCTCCCAGCAGAAGGGTACATAGAAAGTGCTGGAATGGGGCTTGGGCTGTAGCTCAAGTTGGTAGAGTTCTTTCCTAGGATGTGTGAAATCCTGGCGTAGATCCCCAGGACCACAGAAACTGCGGGCAGTGGCACAAACCTATAATTCCAGCACTTGGGAAGGAGACTGAAGTGAAGAATTATGAGTTCAAGGTTATCCTTACTAGTCTTGGCTACATTAGCAGTTGTCTAAAAGAGACAACAAAAAGCCAGGTGTGAACTGGGCAGTGGTGGCGCACGCCTTTACTCCCAGCACTCGGGAGGCAGAGGCAGGCGGATCTCTATGAGTTCGAGGCCAGCCTGGTCTACAAGAGCTAGTTCCAGGCTCCAGAACTACGGAGAAGCACTGTGCCGAGAAATCTCTGAGTTCGTGCCCAGCCTGGGCTACGTAAAGAATTCCAGAGCTGACAGGTCTACTTGGAGAGACTGTCTCCAAAATAAAGTGAAAGAGCAATCTGCTTTAAGGGTTTTTATGACTCCTGAGCTTCCGTTTCTCTTCATGGGAGCTGGGCAGATTCACTCGCAGGAGATACTTGTTCATGTGGAAATTACGTATTGCTGTCTAGTTTCTAGTCCTCCACACTCTATGGATGCACATCCGCCCATCATAGCCCCACCCTCGCCAAGGACGGCTCTCCAGGAGAGATGTTTATCTCACCTGCCATTCTTTGTTTTGTCTGTTTGGTTTGATTTGGATTTTGAGGGGTTTATTTTTTGAGACAGGGTTTCTCTGTAGCTCTGGCTGTCCTGGAACCCACCCTGTAGACCAGGTTAGCCTTGAACTCACAGAGATCTGTTTGCCTCTGCCTCCGAGTGCTGGAATACGTCCATATGTCCGGCTCCTTACCTGACAGTCTGTAACTGACATCACTGGTTACCCCCACCAATGGCCACCAGGGGCCAAATAAGGAAATATCAGTATCCTTCCCACCTGGCCTCGTTTGTACCCTATCAGTGTCCTAGCCTGTATGCAGATGGTGGACTTTGAGTCTCCCACGGAAGAATAAAATTTGAACCATTCATTTCCCCCTTGACCTCACAGGAGTGAGCTGGCAACCGGGGATTCAGAGGCCAAAGCCATAAGAAAATTGCACTTCCCTAAAAGGATGGGGTGTTCATGCACTCAGATTCCAGGAAAGAATTAGAGCCGGAGTCTGGCTCGTGTGCTCGGGAGAACTTAATGAGGATAACCAGGAGCTTTCCTCTGTCCTCACTGATCATTTCTGGCAGGCTAAGTGCAGTGTCCCGTCCTCGCTGTCTGCAGAGCATCGACCTGTGCGTTCACAGTCTGAAAAGGAATAATGAGCCAGTCTTGGAGAGCAATGAACACAGTCAAATGGGAATGCTTCATAGCTCACGTTTTCCTATGGTTCCCAGCATCCTTGGGACAACCATCCCACGGTAGGATCACTGTGGCCCTTTCTCCCAGTGCCCCAGTGAGAGGGACCACTGAGGTTCTAGCAGG